CCGGCCCTGAGACTCAGCCCCTCATTGTGCTGCACTCTGAGCAAACCCAAAAGCTAGGACATGTGTAACTGAAAGACCGAATTTCGCTCTGTATTTAGAACTTGGTTAAGCAATTGTTTGCTGATGCATGAGCCAGAATTGAATCTAGCTCACTCTCACAAAGCTGTGCTGGTTCTGCAATGCTAACAAGAATAATGTGTAGCAAATGTTTACTTTTGGTGATAAATTAGCTAGATGTGACTCTGAGTACACACAAGGGGCAGAGCTGTTGAGTAATACGGTGCCATTTTAATAGTCACTTTTCATACTGAAACCACATTTATTATCTCTGTTTTAAAGGGGTTTCTGTTCATTTAAAAGTAGAAGCCCCTCTGCAAAATATTTCCTTGGACCAATTAACTCCGTCTAATTCCCTGTGAAGTCTGAATAGCAGGTAAGATTAGTTGCTTACAAAGGAAATGCAAAATACTGAGTCAGCACTTGCACTGCTGATTAGTTATGAACATACAGAGCTTCCCCCTCTTCTCCTCCCCCACCCCAATTTATTTGTGTTAAAAAGAAAGTGGAGCTAGTCATTAGTGAAAAGAACCAGCATGGCATTATATTTACTACGTGTTTAGGAATAACTCTTCCCTTTGATGTACTTGGGAACTCTTGAACTTCAGAAACTAGTGTGTGAGCATGTGGGGTATGCCTTAGTACTTTAGGTCATTTAATCCGTTCCTCAAGTGAGTCATTGTAAGGTAGAGTAACTGCTGGGAAAAGTTTCCCAGTGCCAATTAAAACAGTCTCCAAAGGTGTCGTGGACTTGTATTCTCCTAGAAAACCAGCGCTAAAAGGCTAGAAGCAGTTGCTTTGGAGCCATGAGGCCAGATCCCGAGCCGGTGTAAATCACCATAGCGCTACTGACTTCAATGGAGCTCCATCGATTTACACCAGCTGAGGATCTAGCCCTTTGTGCCTAGAACTTGCTAAACAGTTGCTGTTTAAAATCCAGGATTTCTCCATAAATATGTCAATTTCAAATAAATAAATAAATTCCAGAAAATAGATGCAAAAAACTCCAAACTTTAAAGCGATCTTGGTTTTGAATTGTTCTGTATGGGGATTTTACATATACACTGCAGAACCGAAGCTGAAATGAATGAATTTTAGCCTCTACCATTCCCTTAGAGAAACTTCCCAAATGCAATCAGTTTTTTTAAAATACATTAATAATAAAACCAAAGACAGGAATGTCCTAATTAGTGACTGCTACTCGTGTTTTCTGCCAAAGAAAAGATCCCATTTTCAACATATGCTAAGAATAAATAAATACAAATTAATGAGAAAGCTAAAATATATCTTGGCTAAATGGCTTCAGGTGAAACCTGGTTCTTCATACATTGTAGCGAAAAGCTGACCACATCCTGGCTTAGGCAAAGTGTTGCTGGGAAAACAGCCTTTAGTAAACAAACGTGTCTGCCTTGATTGAAACAGCCTATTGGCTCCCAGGATATCAGTTTAAAGGATTGCTTGTGCTACCATATGTTTTGCTATTTCAGGGCCAGATTTTTACCTGTAAACGATGGTCCACGCTGGAGAGTTTGAGGACGAGGCCAGTGCAGTGGGAGACCCCAGGAGGGATTCTGGCCAACTTAATCAGAATCCCTCCCTGGGAGCTTCCAGTTGTGCCACCTATTATAGAGTCATACTGTCTCCCTTCTCAGGGCACCCAGCCACTGGACAGTGCAGTGGTGGGCAGAGATTATCCCCACCCCCTTCCAGGTTGCTGGCCTCTACAGAGGCACTAGTGGGGAACAGTTCCTGCACTCACCCAGGCTTGGCCCAGACTCACTTGGCCCAGACTCAACAGCTCAAGTGTAGGGAAGGTCTTTCACCCCCCCCCCCCCCCCCCACACACACAAAGTCCCCTACAGGGTTGGGCACTGTGGAGCCCTGGATTTGATTTGGCACAATATCCTGGGTACAGTTGCATGAGAACCGTTTAGAGAGGGACCCTTATCTCTCTAATACGCTGCCGAAACGGGCATTCCTCTCTCTTTGCAGCCATGTTGCATGGTATACGCCACTCTAAATTGTCCTATTTATTCCTATTCCTTTCCAATAAGCCAACAATGATGGACCTTTTGCCTTTGTGGCAATTCAGTGATTTAGCAGACTTTACCCAGGTGAATGGAACTCAGAAAGGGCCAGATTCTAATCTCAGATAAGCAGTACATGGATCAGTATGTTTTAGACCAGTGGTTCTCAACCTTTCTGGGAACTTTCGCTTAGCCTCATGCAGTCAGGCTATGATTAGGAGGCGGCTTGGAAAGCAGATTGGGCTAAACAAGACTTAAAAAATAAGTGCTTTGTGACGGATCTGACATAGAAGGTTCCTGGGTTTGACCTTCCATGATCACCTTGGTCAACTCTGAACCGAATCCGAACCCGAACCTACCATGATAGATGCAGACATCTAATGTACAAATGGAAAATCAAGGATTCCCTGGCGTGCGAGTGCGGCTCCCCACGACAGACCATCAAACATATCCCCACCTACTGCCCAATTTATAAATATGAAGGAGGCATCACTGCAATAAATTCTGCTACTCCTGATGGAACCATCTGGCTCTATCAACATCAGGTGAAATTGTAGTTGCTGCTCTACACCAGCCATACGAAAGAAGAAGATTCTTGCTCTATGAAAATATACTGGGAATGTATTGACTTGTGACCCAGATGGGCCAAAGAATGAAGGCAAACATTCAGCTTACTTTTCTAAGTCAATATTGCGGAAGATCGCCATGTCTCTGTGGGGCTAAAGTAACCTTTCCTATGTTATTTACTTGTTTCTTTTATCACATTAAAATCTTCCTTTCTCATTTCCGAAGACTGCAAGTTTTGTAGGGGACAAGTTGCAATAGAAGAATACTGCTGGCTCTGCCCTCATAGTTTGTGTTAAGATGTATTTGTATTTAGAGGTAACATGGATAAACCATCTTGGGTGAAATCCTGACTTCCATTGAAGTCAGTCGCAAAACCTCCATTGAGTTCAGTGAGGCACGGCTTTCACCTTCTGTTTCTGAAGTTAGAGTTGCTACTAGATTGTTAAATTATTGGTGCGTGTCAAACAGAATATGCTTGACATGAACATTTTTCCTGTGTTCAAAACCCACAAAGGTTAAAAAACACGCATAGCCATGAGCTTCTGATTCTAAAAATTATGCTAAGTGTAACATTGTTAGAAATAATAACATCCCTGGAGATAAACCTAAAATAATAGACTCAGCCATGTAATTTTCACTTTAAGCTAAAAATAGCCTAAATGGTGGTTTAATCTAAGCCATAATTATCAAACGGCTGAAGCTGGTTTTGGTTCATCAGAACTGGAAATTTATGCTGCATTTAGATTTTAAATATTTGAATCCCAAAACTGCAGAGAAGAAAAGGCAGGGGAATGAGAACTGAATATAAAAACAAATAGGCAACTCTGATTTGTAGAGTAATGTTGCATATTGGGAGTCCAACATCATGATCGGAAACAACGGCCATCTTGCTGCGTCCAGCAAGCTTATACAATAAGATGCACTTCTCCTAAGGAATAAACTGATGATCATCTGAGATTTCAGTTATCAACTTGCAGTTGCCAATTCTGAACCTAATGCTGATGACTGCCACTTTGGCAGCTGAGTGACACTTGTTTGCAAAAATCAAGAGGCACCGTTTGCAAAAATCCGTAAACCAATTCCCATCCCATTTTAAGATGGGTTTCGAAACCAAAGGAAGGACATTAAGATTTAAAAATGTTACTTATCAAAACAGGTTGGAACTTGTTCTCTCTCCTACATTGGGTGGTAACATGGTCTAGTAGTTTGAGGATGGGATTGGAAATCAGGATTTCTGGTGTCTGCGCATGGTTGTGCCACTGTCTTGTTGTGTGAACTTGAACTAGTCACTTATCCTCTCTTTTGCTTGAGTTTTTCCTGTTGTAAAACACTGTTAATAATACATGGCCTCACAGGTGCATGGTGGGGGGAAAGTTTTTGTGAAGCCCTTTTGAGATCCTCAGGTGAGCGATATTTTAATTTCTCAGTTGTGGGTGTAAATATGTGTAAATGTGCATTATTTGTTTAGATGCACTACCATGGGCCAAATGCTGTTCACATTTACATTGGGTTGGGGCAGGGATTGTGTCTTTGTATGCGTTTGTACAGCACTTAGCAAAATGGGGCCTGATTCGGGGGGGGGGGGGGGATGTCCAGGGGCTGCTGAAATAGAGATATTTAATAATACTGTAAATTTGGAGTAACCCCTTTTATGTCAGTGGAGTTACTCCAGATTTGCACTGGCACAGGAGCAGAATTTGGCTCCATGTTTAGTAATTATTGTACTTCGGTATTTGTTGACCTTACTCAACATGGTTTTAGTTAACCTCATTCACTAGTTCTGGGCAAGTAATACAAAGTTTTCCACAAATACTCCCTTTGATATTCTGTGCTTCAGCCAGGCTACATCCTTTCTGAACCCTTGAATGACTGAGTTTTACGGGGAAGCACATTTCAGGTTGCATGACCATTCCCAGAAACCACTTTTTGCATCCGTGTGTGTAAGAATTCAGCCAGATGTACTATGGGTTCATCTAATCAGGGAACAGAAGCCGTTCCATATAACTTCTCAGCGCTATCTCTCCACTAAAAATCGCTGTTGGAATTTAGAATATTTCTAGCAGACCCCATAGTGAAGTGTTTGCCATCAATCCATGGAGCAAAACAATTTTTTTAAAAAATTTGCAACTAAAATAGGTAAATTCAAGGAATTTGTGATCTGCTTATGACCTAGAAGGTAAATTCGTTGGATAAACTATTAATTGTGCATGATTTGATCAGTTCTACTTTCCACTGTGTTCCCCATAAGATAATCAGAGTGTCATTACCAGGTGCAATGGTAAATGACAAACCCGCAGTATGGCTTTATCTATGTGGTTTTGTTTTTGTTTTTTGTTTTTAACCGAACAGCATGGGGATGAGCCATGACGATGATCATTCTTCCTGCGCAGGAAGATCTCACATAATGTCTGGAGAATGGGTGAAGGGCAGGAACCCCAGTGACCTTTCTTGGTCTTCCTGCAGCCGTGACGACCTTGAAAACTTCCTAAAGTAAGAACGTGATGAACAGCGAAAACCCTGTATCTCAAAGAACCGGGATCGTATTTGAAATTCAAACACAAAGTCTCATAGACTCATAGACTTTAAGGTCAGAAGGGACCATTATGGTCATCTAGTCTGACCTCCCGCATGATGCAGGCCACAAAAGCTGACCCACCCAATTTCCCTTATCTCAGCTGTTGAAGTCTCCAGATCGTGATTTAAAGACTTCAAGTCGCAGAGAATCCTCCAACTTGCGACCCCTGCCCTATGCTGCGGAGGAAGGCAAAAAACCTCCAGGGCCTCTGCCAATCTACCCTGGAGGAAAATTCCTTCCCGACCCCAAATATGGCGATCAGTAGAACCCCGAGCATACAGGCAAGATTCTCCAGCCGGACCCACATTTTACCAGCGATGGCACGTTATTGCCTAATTGACTAAGATCACGTTATCCCATCAAACCATTCCCTCCATAAACTTATCTAGCCTAATCTTGAAGCCAGAGAGGTCTTTCGCCCCCACCGTTTCAGGGGAGGACGGTGTACAATCACTGTATGGAAGGTTGAATCTGTCTCCTTTGTAGTAACCTTGTACCTGGAGCATGCAGAGAATACTGGCAGAGATGCAGCAAACTCATCTTCCCCAAATTTCAGCACACTGATAGCTTCTTGAAAAGAATCCCAGTTCACTTCCACTTTAGGAATGAGTCCTGTGATGACAAGACTCTGTTAGGTTGTACAGGAGGAAGTGCCCTTAAAAAAAACAACCCACCCTATTTGACAGGTTCTGCCAGCCTGCCCTGCTAGAACAATTCATTTTACGGAAGCCAGAGAGAACTCATTTCCTGGGGAGTTAATTCTGTGTCATTCTCTCCTCTCTACGTGAGCATTAACTTAAACAGTTCACTGTGAATGCCTTTTCTGCAGCATCCAGTGTTTTTAGTTTATCCTCTTTAGCAATTCAGAAAGAATTGTAAGGCAAGCTGATTACCAGCTTGTAGATCATCATTCACCGGAACAAACACCAGAGTGTGCTGGATCCACTTGACTATCAGAGATGCAGCCTCCATACTGAGCAATGAGTTTAGCAGTGATCAGAGGAAGAGGGGGAGGGGGAAAAAAAGAGGTTAAAGTGTCTATCCAGAAAATGAGAGCTCCAGTAATGTTATGTTAAAGGGACACTGTCAAGATAAAAAACAAGGGTCTGATTCTGAACTCTGAGTCTGTCAGCCTGTTAGTTCCTAAACTACTTGGTAGTGACCCTCATATACATGGTCCAGTATCTTTCCTCCTTTCCATTAGTTTTAAAAAAACCTTCCAAGATGCTATTGGTCACAGTTTCAGGGTTAACTGCACCTTTGACATACACCCCTGCTCTTCCACAAGGGCACCCACTTAAGGTTTCAGGCTCCGAGCCGTCACCTCTCTTGGGTGAAGATCTGCATCTCTCTCCCTCCAAACGGGTTTAGGCTTGCAGTCCCTCTGCACCTCACTGATTTCCCCAGCAGCTCTGACCAGGGTTCAGCATCTGTGGTTAACCTTTCTCCACGGGCTACAACAGTGTACACCAGTTACCAACCAGCCTTCACAAAGCAAAGTGTATTAGGGAGAAAATGTACAAAAAACACTAAACGAACCTACACACATGCTAAAAGCTTACCAGAGGTCACCCCCAGCTCCAACATAAGGCTCTGGGGGCTGTCTGTTTTTCAAAGCCCTCAGCTGGGTTTGTGCTGGGTTACCAGTTCATGTCAGGTTTCAGATCAAGAACCATAACAAGTCTGGGACAGTCCAGCTATTTCTTTATGCAGTCTGGGCCTTTGATCTGTGGCCTCCTGTAACAGGCAATCACCAGTCAGTGGCCCTCTCCTCAGGGCAAACTTCAAAAGGTTTGGTTTTTGCATAACCAGTATTGTGGAATTCGCATTAACCACCCCCAGGGCATTCTCCAGGAAACCCACTTAACACTCACCATCACAGAGGTCTGCCTGTCTGGCACTTCACAGTATATTAGAGAGAGTGTCCTGGGGCCAACACGGCTACCACACAACTGCACACAACATTTCCTTATAGTCATTTGAACACCATACATTTCCCAGGTCTCACTTCTGTCCCACTATTCGCTCTCCATATTGAGTAATGCCTCAAAAATACCACTGTACGACCTCACCTCATGCATCCCCAGTCTGCACCTGCCCATAATCGCAACCTGACCAGAAATATCTGCAGGTCAGAATCTTTGCTTAAAAAAGGATATTCCTGGGTGGAAATCTCTCAGAAGTACCAACCCTTTAGACAAAGACACCATAATCTCAAGTGAAAGGGAAGGAGCCACCTTCTCTGGGCAAGTGATCTACCTGCCCAGTTCCAAAGTTCCTCCCCTTAAAGGTGTGTGTAACTCTCGTACTCTTTAGGTCCAAGGTGAGCACCTGTTTGCTGGTAACAGACCCCCGAAGCCAATATGCCGTGCGGCTTCCTCACAAGCTGCCAGGGATGCACTACAGCGCTGATGAACAGTGCCAGATCCTATTCGGGACCAATGCCACTTTCTGTAAGAATATGGAGGTAAGGCTTCTCCTGGGTCCCAAGGGCGCGAGGGGGGGTAATGGAATCAAAGCTGTCAATTGAGAATAAAAAGATTCCGTACCTCCAATTGACATACAAAGTGGGATTTTCAACGGTGCTCAGTGTTGGCCCAGCCTGGCCTAACCTGCCCTAGGGGGGGAGGGACAGCTCAGTGGTTTGAGCATTGGCCTACTAAACCCAAAGTTGTGAGTTCAATCTTTGAGGGGGCCGTTTAGGGATCTGGGGATTAGTCCTGCTTTGGGCAGGGGGTTGGACTAGATGACCTCCTGAGGTCCCTTCCAACCCTGATATTCTATGAAATCAACAGTAAAACTCCCATTGACTCAGATGAAAGAACAGAGTTAGGCCAATGCTGAGCACTTTTGAAAACCCCACCCACACTGATGAAGCTAAAACCCTAGATCCAGGTCCTGAGGTCCTTTATTGAGTTTGTGTATTCAGTTTTCACTTGGGCAAAACTCCCATGGAAGTCAGAGTGCCAGAATACTGAGCAAGAGGCTGTTCTCATGATATTTCCGGCCCATCTGGAATTGGGATGTAGCAGAAGTCTCACAAGTGAGCCTCTTCCCACAAGACTTCCCAGCTCTGCAGACTAGAGAGGTTTAGATCATTTGGATTAACATTGGGACTTTTGGGTTCGAACCCTGACTGCAAACTATTTAAGGGCTGCTGGTAGGAGCCACCTCTGACTGTAATGTGAAGCAATATTCATGTATGAACCAATTGACTAACCAGTAGGAGCTCTATATCTGCTGAGGAGGCTGTGTGAGCCAGTAGCTAGTGGATGGAACTTGGAGTCAGGATTCCTGGGTTCTGTTCTCAGCTCTGCCACTAACTCTCTGTATCACCATGAGCAAGACACTTAACCTAGCTGCACCCTACTTTCCCCTATTCCAGGTAGGGATTATAATTGCACATGTGTGGCTATGTGCTAGGATAGCTACAGATGGAAAGTGCTAAGCATTGTTATCGAATTGATTATTTTATCACCAGAACCATTTGGTGGTATTTTACCCTACGTTATGTTCTACAAAGCCCTAGTTTAGATGGCAAGAGTGAATCATGCATTACTCTCTTATAACTAGGCAATATTAAAAAAAAAATGTTTGTTTTGGTAAATCATTTCCCCCTCTCCCCTCCCCTGTCCTGTCCCCTCCACTTCTAAAAAATTCTGGCACTTTAATCTTATAAAAAAAGAAAATAATAATCAACTATAACTGAAGTTTCCAAATGCCAAATGAATAAAGCTGTCGAACACATGCAAGTGCTGGGAAAGAACTCTGAGTTTCACATTTGCTGTTTTGTTTACTTTGGATCTGGCAACTAAGTAACACAGAACATGAAAACAATGAGAAACAAATCTGGGTAGGTTGTGTTTTTTGGATCAACCAGGGAAATGCAGGCCATCCAGACTACTGGACTGGAAGCAAGCTTTTAAAATGTGCATCCTTCAAGAGTACCCTGGGTATAGTCAGGAAGATGCAGGTACCTCCAAATGAACGGATATCGTGCTGCTTACCCAGCTTTTGGTAGATATTTGCAATGTGCATTGTTGCAGAAAAGAACTGTCATTCCTGGAGGTTTCACCCTCACTAGGAAGTGCCATTTTACTGCTTACAAGTCTGCATTTCTCATGCTGAAATAGCATATCCAGAAATACAGTGTTCTTGAAACTCTTCATTCAGAGTATGTTTGTCAGTGTACCACACCAGCCGGCAGTATTCTCTGTTAGCAGGTGTGTTGGTCCTTTGGGATCTTTACTAGTCTTAGTGTTTTTGAAATCTTTAGAAAAGAAACCTTCATACATATTTGGAAGGACTTTAGAATAATTTCTGCTGAGAAGCCTATACAATCTTTGGCTGAATAAAGGAAGGTGCAAACACTAGTCAGCTTAATTATGTATCTGTAGGTATTTCTGATCACGAATGTAGTGTGGGAGTGCTTCAGAGTTCAGTGTTGACGTTCTGTGAAAATATGTGCCATTAACTTTACACATCATTAAACCATGGTAATATTTGCATGCTGTTCAGCAGCTGTGAGTTGGTGTTTGCCTGCAGTGAAACTAAAAAAAAAGTTCGTTATAGGAAATGGTCAGCTTTAATTTTTAAATCCTGGAAGGTTTTGTTACCTTCACCTTCGTCTTTCTCGTGCCTCATCAACAGAATGCTTGTACTGTAAGTCTCTAAGCTGTCTGCGGAAATATGAACCAAAAAAAATTGGCACCGGTCATTGGCATTAGTTATAGAAATTATTGGCAAACATAGCTGTCTCCTCTTCTAGCCAATGGTAATGTGGTATTTTAATTCAATAAAGTATTATTAAAAAATCCAAATGTACAAGTAATAAACATTTGACAGTAAATATTTGTTACAAAAAGGAAATAAACGTCAGGAAATTAGCCTGCTCAATCTTTTTATGACTACACGCGTCTTCTGTCTACATTCCTATTTAATAAAGAGAGCTATATCATGACATTTCAGAAAGAGATAGCTGAGCTCCAGAATTATGTTGGGCAAACTAGAAGACCTACATTCAAAAATTCCCTATGATAGGGAAAATTTCCAGAGGACAGTAGATGAATCCAGACTTTAACCATCTTTAGGAAAGGCTGCAAAATCTTCCTGTTTGATAAAGCTTTCTGCATGAAAGGCATTCAGGTCCTATAGTAAAGAGTAACAATATAAGTATCAACAATAGCTAAATAGAGCCTTAGAACATTCCACCCCGTCTGTATCACTTTGATTTGTCCCACTTTCCTCCCCCCCCCCAAAATACCTTCCAAACTCTCTAGTACTGGGGCAGCAGAAGTAATGTTACTCCCAAGCCCTGCCAACAACCCAAGCTGCACTGACCAGAGAGGCCAAAACGAAACTCCACTCAAAATAGATCTTCCTGCTGCGATTGTCCTGCTTCCTTCGTGTGCGCTTTGTTCAGCAGTGAAACAGTGAACAAAGCTTACAGTCCTATGCTGCCATCATTAGACTTCAGACTCCCATTAAAATAAAATGTAGCAGCGCCTCGTTCTTTCAGGGCTATTGTTTCTGCTGTCTACAGACTTTGGCAGTCAGCCTGGCATCAGTTTGAATTTTTAAGATTTTCTTTGGTAACCATGTGTGTTAAAGGCTTGGGCACCTGTCTCCCTTAGGCACGCTTGATAATCTCCGTCTTAATTTATTGTTCTAATGAAAGATTCTGGCGTGCAAACTGGCAGTCTCTAGCAATTAGAACGTTTGCCAAACCACCATGAACTGCTCTGAGCTCTCCGCAGAAATCACAGCATAAAAATGAAGGCTCGTGAGGGAGCCGCTTTGGGTATGTCCACACAGCAAAAATAGACACACGGCAGCATGTCTCCGAGCCTGGGTCAACTGACTTCGGCTTGCGCTGCTGAGCTAAAAATAGCAGAGCAGATGTTCCCGCTCAGGCCACAGAGCTGGGTCCGAGAGCCTCCTCTCTCTGGGTTTCAGAGCCTAGGTTCTAGCCTGCGACCGAACATCTACACTACTATTTAGAGTCTGCAGCGCAAGCCTGAGTCAGCTGATTTGAACTCTGAGACTCACTGCCGCAGCTCTTTCTTTCCCCGTGTAGACGTACCCTTCATAGCTATGTTTGGGTTACATAGATCCAATCCATTTGCAAATGCCGGGAGAGTTATGGGGAAGTCTGTTTACCTGGTGCTCTCCATTAACCCTTCTTTCTGTAAAGTCTGAACATTGTCAGGGTATACACTGCACAGAATCAGGTGATAGATGTGTCCAGGGCCCCACGGTGAAATCCTAAGTCAATGGGAGCTTTGCTGTTGACTTCAACGGCGCCAGGATTTCACCCCAGATGTTTTCAGGAGTTACTAACAGAATAATCCCTAATTAGCCCCCCAGCAAGGCTGGGTTCTGACATAAATCAAATCTGGTTCTGGAATTTGCCATGTCCCTGGGACTGATTCTCATTTCACTTACATTGGTGTAAACCAGAAGTAACTCAGTTGAAGCTAATGAATAACACTGCTGTAAAACTAGTGGAAGATCAGAATCAAGCCCTTGTTTATAGCATAGTGCTGCTTGATGGAAGGACATGTGGCCCATCTAGAATCTGGCATGGTAATGCTTGTTTTGTAGGAATAAAGTTACTGTCATATTACCAAATATCGAACTGATTGAGTGAGTGTTTGAAAAGTGGGCCTGTGGGGATGACAATGTTGCGCTGAATAGCCAGGAGATACAGACAGCATGATGTGCAATAGGAGATAAACAGGAGTCCACCTTTTAAAACTCATTGTCTCATCCACCCAGGCATTGGTGCCTTACGATATTGTGTTCTGTCCACCTACATCCCAGGTTTTGCAAGGCATTTGACAGTCTGGCCTGACTGACCACCACTTCCCAGATCCGCTACCATGCTTGTAAGTCTAGTATTGTGGGTAGAAGGCCCTGTGCAGCAAAAAGCATAGGTGTTACTCAAATCCCATGTAAGCTGTCAATATAGGATTTAAGTGAATAGGCCTTGTGCGTTTTTCTTTATTATGCTGTCCACAGAATGAAAGGCACAAAAACCTTCATGGCTGCATCTCTCACAGTTGGGATAAAGTGTCTGCACCAGAAACACACAGGAACACATTGTTCACAAACTCATGTGAAAATACACTTGTGTGTTTAATCATGAGCACTGGGTTTATTTTTCAAGCTGGCATGCCTACTAACAGAGGCTTTTGGGCTGACATTATATTTATGGAAAAAATGTGATTTGTATCTCTTATATCCAGTGTTTGGCTTTCCGTTTTATATGCCTTTTGGCTTATTTATTATTAACGCATTTTTGCGGGTTTTTACATAACCATTATCTTTCAGTATTGCTTTGAGTCAAAACTGCGCTTAGACTAAAATGGCATGTAGAGATTAACATTGCTACAAAGAGATTTTCTGCTTAACAAGGGATGCTATTAACTCAAATGTAGCCCAGAATTGAGATTTTGAGTCAACAAG